GTGTTCCCAGTCCGCTTATCATTGTGCAACACTTTCTGAGCCGTTTATGCAATTCCCGGAAGGTTTTACTGGAATGTAAGCATCCTCTTCTCCATAATGTATTCTAGCTTAGGTAGATAGCAATTCTCAAATTTGAAAAAGTCAGAATTCCGCCATAAAGACTTAGAGTTAATCTTCTGCTCACCGGAATTCTAAGTATATAACATTGCTGACAAGACCATGAGAGACTGGACTGGCCATTTATGGTACATTCACCCCCACCAGTAGTTCGTTTCTAACGCTAACTGATGACCACTCGGGGCTCTAACTCGCGACAATCTCTCTAAATATTAAGCCACCAGCTCGTTTCCTCCTCCCGTTCTGCATTGAGGCTCGTTCTCGAGTGCCGCTAGCAGCTGCACAGCGGCTTGTAGTTTTGGGCAGCTAGCATTGCCAGTAGAGACGAGGGAGACTAAAATGACAATTTCTGGCGTATTAGCCATCATCAGTCAGTCATTCCTCACCCCAGATGGTGCCACACTCCAGGCTTCAACCGCGAGGTTTTCATCAAATTTATAGCGCACTAACAATTGGCTACGAGGCGTGCAGGAGAACGGACCCCGAGGTAGAGCAGGATAAGTGAGTTCCCTTGGCAACCGTTGAACGTGTTTAGCTAGTTGATCACATGCGATCTGTTTGGTATCTCTGACTGACGGACTCTGAACGGTTCTCGCAGAACTGCAGGCCTTCACCTTACTATGTTTTTATTCGACCAGGCCTTCAGCGTTGATATTACCCTCAAAGCATTTTGCATCCACAGTAAAGTTCCACTGTCTCGAATAGTATTTACAAAAATGACTGTTTCCCCTAGGTGTCAGATGCTCCCCCAAACATATTTCATTTGGAACTCTCCGAAATATGGCATCTCGGGGGTCTTTTTCCGACAAAAGTTACAGTCATGAAATGTCAGTTGAGTTGTCTTTAAACTGAAGGATGCTAGCTCGGCGGAAGACATAAAGGGATTGGTCCTCGCGATTGCATGTAGATCTTACACCTCTTGGATACAAACCTGTTGAACCCGCATGTCCCGGCATCGAACAAAATACCTGAATTTAGTGGTTTGACTGTTCTCTCAGACTCTAATTTTCCTCCTTTCTTGTAAACCCTCTCGTTAATAATAAATCTATACTTTCATCATTGTGAAATGAGAGTCTGATTCGCTCAAGGGAACGAGAACATATGAAATGTCAAGTTAGTTCAATTTTGTTAACGGGAAAGGTTGCCTAACATATGTGTGCTCCATAATGATAATAAAGTAGCTAGGGAATATATCGCTTGAATGGAAAAAAAATCAAAAAAAGTGTCAAATACATAATTAAAGCATGAAAACCAGCAGCTGTTTATAAGCTGAACGACTAATTATACATGTCTAGTCATTCCGTATGAGTAGTATAACTATTTCAATATTAATGTCTAGTAGCAGGGGTTAGTGGTTAGCTGATGAATGACATATTTGATATATGATATTATGGCAGGAGTTTCCTTGGTAGCGCACATATGTTTTTATTTATATTTAAATGCCTACACAATTAATGTATGTTAGGGTAAGGTTTAGGGTTAGGATTAGGGTTAGGGTAAGGGTTAGGTTTATGGTTAGGGTAAGGGGCGGGGTTAGGGTTAGGGTAAGTTAAAGGGTAATGGTTAGTGGTAGGGGTAGGGTTAGGCTAAGGTTTATGGTTAGGTTTAGGGTAAGTGTTATGGTTAGGGTAAGGGTTAGTGTTAGGTTGGGATAGAGGTATCGCATTTAAATTGCCCCACGTTTCTGTCTTACGGGAAGCGTTAGAGTAGGCATTTAAATATAAATAAGAGCATATGTGCGCTACCAAGGAAACTC